CCAGAGTTTAAATAATTGTCTCTTTAACACTCACACTTTATAACTATCTGAATCGTGACTCTTATTAAATTTAAATGAAACAGGCTTGTATATCTAACATCTGCTAATCACAAAACTGACTAATTAACCCTACATTTACAGTACCATACTGGACAATAATGTCAAGATTATATTTATAATCCACGGTTATGTCATCAAGCAAAGATAAATAAGTTGTAACGACCAAATAGGATTAAGCGAAATATATCACAAACTTAACAAATCACGTCCCTTTGCATTTAAAACACAAAACATTTGTTAATATCCAAACTTGAAAATTTAATTACCTTTTAGCTAGTTTCGTATATCTACCAGTAGATGGCACGAAAGTAAAACTTTCTCCACGTAAAACTATTAACAGGATAAAGAATTAGGAGGAACAGTTCCAAAATAAAAAATAAGAAACTATCAGAGAAAATTGATGTGGAAATGAAGAACAACTAATTAATTCCAATTTAGAGCCAGGATGATAGGCATACTGTATGATTTTAGTTGTGATCTCAAGAAACCTCTTCAATTGTCAATGGTGGTGAGTTTGATAGGCTTCCGTTGGTTGATCGTATACCATATCCAACCTGAGTTCATAATTTATGTCTCTGTCACAACGGTTGTGGTCTGGTAGTTAGGGTATCGACTCGCATTGTGTGGGTTCTAATCCCGTCACCGAAATTGCTCACCCTTTCAGACGTGTGGGTATAATAATGCGAGTCAATCCCACTTTTTATTGGTAAAAGAGTTGACGGTGGATGGCGTTTACTATCTCCCTTCCCTATAGTCTATCACCTCTAAATTAGGAATGACCAGTGCAAATTGTCCTGGAGTAGCTTTGTGCAAAATTCAACAAACAAACGAAATTTTTAATGCTGTAATTTGTTAGGTGAAGGATGTAGAATGCCCAGAAAGTTCGAAGGATTTGACATCAAAGTTTTTTAATATATGTGAATGTAGTTTATAAATACCAAGTTCTATGAATCATTGTTAAGTTAGTAAAAAAAGAGTGAGTTTAAAGATAGCGAAGGAGATAGTAGGCAAAATTATTTCAAGATAAGTTGAATCAATCAGCATGTTAGCTATAGCAGTTACTTTGTAAGAGTAAATTGATTTATTTTACGTTATTTTTAATGTAGGCCTACAACAGTATACGGCGGTGTACAATTTAAATTTTGTAGAAACATTAAAGAAGGAAATAAAGTAATGTTGCGTCAGCGAGATCACATGACTACAGTGACGCCACGTTTCTAGAACTATCCCGTATCTTGGCGAATGCTCTAGTATTTGCTAGATATAGGGTAGTTTGGTATATATAAGAGGGGGAAAACGTGACGCGGGAAGGTAATGTAATGTGTGTGTAGATAGTGAGTAATTGAACTGCAGTCAGAGAGCACGAGAGACGTTACAGCGTTTGTTTAGCGCGATTGTTGAAGTTGAGTGTATTGGTAAAGTTATATTCGGAAATAATAAACCAGTTTTATTAAGAAAGGACTTGTGTCACTTAAGTTTCGTCGGAACGAAGTTACGGAAAGTTAATTAACAAACGGAGACGTAACAGTAATTTATCATCGCTACATGGGATAAACGTTGAATTATTTTCACCAGATAATTTAAAAAACTACGCTACAAATCAACCATTCTTTCTTCTTTGAAGTGTGTTTACAATGATTTTATTTTTATTGTTGAGTAAACCTTCGATCACACAGTTATATTTACAAACACAAGGTAAAGTTGTTTTGCTTAGATGTAATAGACATTTCAAATATTACATATGACCGCCATGCAAGTATCAAATTTCTTTTAATGGCTGGAGACGGCTTAAATGGGTAATGAAGAAAAACGGATTCTGGTGTAGTGTAATATTAGGAATGACATTTTGTTATTAACGTGAACGAACATTTAATGAGATTGATTGGAAATTTCTTAAATTACAGTTTACGGGAGAAGTTTTTATTACATCTCTGATGACATTTCTGGTAATCAGAAATATAAATTAAAGTTTGCGATTTGTTGTTGCAATCTCAAAAAATTGGTGTTGTATATGTAGAACTTCGAAGACATAACCTGTTTCTGACTTCTGTGTGGATTATTTTATTGGCATGGGTTGATTTGTTTGTTTCAGATGGTCGTGCAAAGCTACACATGGAACAACTGCAATAGTCGTCCCTAATTTTGAAATAATGAGCTAGAGGGAATGCAACTAACTGGTAAACAACACCTATCACAAACTGTGGAACTACAGTCTGGCATATTAACCACTGAGCTTCACCCAAACTGATGTCATAAAAAAAAAAAAACTGGATGTGGTCAAACGTGTTAGAACCTTTTTTATGGGACAGTTTTATATGTCTTTGAGACGCGAGACTCGTCTTGAACTCTACAGATATTTTACCAAGGTCAAACGTGCAGTGGGAACGTTAGCGCCAATTAAATAATCAAGGTCAAACGTGTAGTTGGAACATTAGCGCCAATTAAATTACCAAGGTCAAATGTGTAGTTGGAACGGTAAAGCCTATTAAATTACAAAGGTCAAATATGGAGTTGAAACCGTAAGGCTTATTAAATTACCAAGATCAAATGTGCAGTTGAAACGGCAAGGCCTATAAAATTACCAAGATCAAATGTGTAGTTGAAACGGCAAGGCCTATAAAATTACCAAGATCAAATGTGTAGTTGAAACGGCAAGGCCTATAAAATTACCAAGATCAAATGTGTAGTTGAAACGGCAAGGCCTATAAAATTACCAAGGTCAAATGTGTAGTTGAAACGGCAAGGCCTATAAAATTACCAAGGTTAAATATGAAGTTGAAACGGTAAGGCCTATTGAATAACCAAGGTCAAGTGTTTAGGTAAACTGTTAGGGTCTATTAAATAATCAAGGACCTAAACAGAGCCCATAGTTTCAAGTTTTGATCCTATCTCACATACAACTTAAACGAAACTGCGGTCCTAATATTTTGATCAGGTGTTCCTGAACCTTGTATAACTGATTTCACAGTGAACTGTTATAGCACCTTGTACAATTATTTTATTACATAAGTGAAATATTTATGTAATATACTTACGCATTCTTTTATTTTCCATCAGCACTATACACTGCATCGGAAAAACTCGATTATGGAGCTGTTTGATGAAGTTTGTTGTTCTTGCAAGTTTCTGATAAACAGTGAAGTAATCATCTATTTAGTACTTATATTTCTGGTAACACTACCATTACTTACTTCATATAAATATCGTCTTTCCAGTGATACATGGCCACAATTTTTCAGATTTTTTCCGGAAAAAAAAAAGGAAACCGAACCTCCAATAACCTCGTTGTAATATTAGTACGTACTGTAATAAATTATATATTTTACCATACGTACACAGCGTGGTCACAAATAAATATACACCACCTTTTCAGAAATTTGTATTATACAATAATGACACATGAAATACTATTACAGTAAAATTAGGGTGTGTGGATTTTTTGTTTACCATACGGTTGTTTCTTTTAGTGCTAGCCCAGGTTCTCGTACTTATCAGCTTTTGGATTTCAGTTTCTTCTGTTTCACAAATCGTACTAAAGGTCAAGTTTTTGTTTGTTTATAAAACTTTTGCACAAAGCTACCAAATACTATCTGCACGTAGCCATTCCTAATTTTGAATTGATTAGCGGTAAGCAACTGGTGAACAGCACCCACCAAAATCTCGTCTAACCAAGTGCATGGATTTGACCGTTACTCCTATTACAGCTCACTTACGGTCCCCAAAGCGTGTACGTGCTACACATTTTGCGAATCCTTGGACAGACATTCCGAGCACCTAATCACTAGGCCCCACCTATCCTATTATTTTTGTATGATATATTTATGTCTCTGCAGAGAGAGAGATATAATACTCTTTTTTGTTGTTTCTTCCAAATACTTTTCAAACGACCGCCATTCCTTCGCTTCTTGGCGGATTAATTAAAATTTGGTAGGGTTATACCTTGGTCCAATACACCCAAGAAATTTTTCATTTATTTTATTTAGGCCTTTTTAAAAAAAATTATGGGGTCAAAGGTCAACCAGCCCCCAAAAGTTATATTTTGGGCTCCTCTGCAGTCATAGTTACAGCAATCATGTTGAAAATTGGCACATATATAAATTTTCATGCACCCAATACTGATCAACATACATAAAAGTTGGATCTGTCTATTTTAAATTTTTTTTTTTTGGAGGGGGCAGAGCTCCCAAAAAAAGCATAATTTGAGGTGTTGGGTCAATTACTTGGGATTTGGTACACACATATTTTTCTATAGGTTCCGCACATTGACAAAGAAAAATGGTGGACTTGCCCGTTTTTAGTACTTATAGGGGTGTTAAGATGCCACAAAAAGCATAATTTGAGGGTTTTTGACTATTAATCTCCTGTATTTCAGCCAACTTACATGGGATTTGGTACAAAGATACTTTTTTTTTACAGGTCTCATACATTTACGTACAAAAATGGGAGATATGCCCATTTTTGGTCATTTGGGGATGTCAAAAGGTTAAATAAACCTATAACTTTAGGGGTTTTGGTCAATTACTTAGCCTTGTTCTGACTAATTTAGATAGAACTTGGTACAAAGATACTCTTTGCAGGTCCCACACAGAGGTAACAGACAATTTTGGTCTTTTGCTCAATTTTTCAGTGAGGAAAGTACAAATTGGGGTTTTCAAGAACTATTCATGTGTATGTTAACCAACTTACTCGGGATTTAGTACAAAGATACCATTTTGCAGGTCCCAAGCAATGATATAGACATTTTGAAATTTTTCACGATTTGTTTGCTGTCAAAATTGCACGGTGGAGACACGTTGCATTTGCCTACAAATGTTGGCCTCTTTAATTTCTGTATCTATACCTACCCCATCAAGAAATGAAAATCAATTGTATTAAGTAAAACATCTTTAACATGAAAGAAAATTCTAGAACACATTAACAATTTTTCAAATACACATTTGTACAATAATTGTAAAAATTACATTTATTTTCTATATGGATATCCAGTAACATATATCAAACAACAACATAAGATTGTGATATATGCTGCACAGACGTACATATTTTTGTTTTTCCAATCACAAACCATAAGTTGTTCACTGTCACAATGAAACCTGTTTTAGTAATATATCTTCGACTGCTAGCTTACATAAAATAAGTAATATAAAAAACATAAACCTTGGTAGTTGCCTAACTAATCAATATTTACCTCGTATATATATATGTGTGTGTGTGCGTGTGCACATGCTGTATAGTTTGACAAATTGCTTACAGCTAAATATATATTTCAGATGTCTTAAAGGTCTGTTGAAACAGGAAATTAAAGGGTTATTTGTCTGTATGCTTTGAGGAAAAACACCAAAGTTATTCCTTTAGCAGACAAGGAAATTATTCCAGAAACAACACATTGTATACTGACAAGTTTTATACTTGAATTATATAAAGAACAAGTTCTGTGAGCACGTGTATACAGGTGTGTGCATCTATATAAAACCAACAACGACCAGTGATAAAATATTAAACTCTCAATACATTCATGAATAATAAATGAATATTTTCTTCATCCCCCCCCCTCCATACCAAATATGCAAAAAAAATAGCACAATTACATTCTATACAAGAAAATTAGACTGATTATATTAAGAAATCCCCCCCCCCCCTACAGAAATAAATATTATACACCTGCATAATTTGGTAAGTCCACAATCATATATTAATTTGAAATGTTTAATCTGTATCAAATTCTATACTACGATCAGACTGGAATGTGTTAGTAATCATTATAGAAATGGCCAAACCTTGTAGGTTTTTTAGCTAATTCTCCATATTTCAACATCTTAAGTTGCTGACTTCAATGTATATTATGTAAGTACAATAAAGATATTTTGGTAACTATTTTACTATTTCATTTAATCACACAGTTGATATGAAAAAATTATAAATACTTTAAAGTAGTTTAGGTTCATCCCATTCACGAAAAACTGGATATACTTCACAAACACATGGTTACAAAATACGGGAGTGGTGAAAGACAGAAATCATGAACTACTTTACATGGTTGACAAGTGAGGTAACCTGATACAGTGTCTGAGAACTGGCCATCCAACTGTTGAGATAAACTACAAGAAGTTAATAATATATATATATATCTAAAATTTTAAATTTATTAACACTAACATTTCTTTGACGGAAAAATCAACAGCATGCAAATAGAATGAGTTATGATAAAATATTTTATGATTTAAATCTTAATGTTATATTAACTTTATCGTTATGACCTATAATTGTTTGTAAAAATATTTACCTATTTAAAAGTTACATTTTAATAAAAGAATTATTAACATACACTGTAGTTTTATAAGTACACTCATTTAACGTATTTATGCAAATCAGCCTACAAGCAAACTCCTAAGATTTCAATTTTTTTTCTTTTAACCCTGATATTCAAATATAAAATACTAACCCTAACACTAATAACATCTAAATAACCCTAACTTATTCATATTTTGAATAATAGTTGTCATGTTGTGAACACCTTTGCTAAAGAAACATGATTATAACCAAAGGTGTCATAACATAAAAGTATTAGGCTTATAATATTTTTAACACAAAGGTGTGGTTGAAATACTACAACTACACAAAGGGTCTTTTGAAATCTAGCTATTTATTGGTAATCTTTTGTGTGTTAGCTTTTTCACGATGGCCAATACCTACATCTTGAAAACGAACGAAGACTGTAGCGTTAAGACACAATAAGCCTAATTTTAATATCTTATGCCAACTATAACCGATTACCTTTATAGTTTGCTTCTATAAGTTTAAATCATATAGAAGATTTAAAACTAGAACTATAAAAATTATCTCATCAGTATTTTAGAACATGAAGAATTCATGTACACAAACAATTTACACATCATCTGTCAAAATAATAACAAACTTTATATAAATATCTAACTGCTTTCAGTTGCCAAACTACAACCACACAGGATGGAGATTTCTCACTGAAGTATAGAAAACTAATTTTCTGTAAAACTTTGCTCTTTATAGTACAAAGTAAATAAATATTAATATTTTTATGGAAAAAGGTTCAGATGTTACTTAAACTTTTAAAACTGTACATTTCCCTTTATCGCTACTAAGATGTAATAAACACATGAATATCATGTTCATAAAAATGTTGACATTAATAAATTGGTCAGTTTTATCATTCCAACATTAAATGAATCTAATTTTTTATACTTACTAATATCATCCGTACTTTTAACGACACATGAACATTTGGACACTTTTCATCATTTCTACAACTAGATTAGAATGAGCAAATTTTTCAATTGGGCAAAAAGACCTGAGAAAAAAAGACCAAAGTGTGAAACATACACGCAGTAGTTTTGTTAAATGTCTTCCATATCAATACTTTCTTGATGGAATAATAGATTTTTATTTCTTGACAAGTGATTTTTTTTTATATGGAGACTATATACAAAACTATAACTGTAGAGGGCTTTCTATTTTTCGAAAATCTTTTTGGTTTTAGCTTAATTATAAAAAAAAATTGAGCCAATTATTAACATTGTATGGAGAGAAGACACAGTTTTATATAAAACACAGAATTTTATGATCAGAGAAAATAAAATTACCATTAACTTCGGACTAAAGCAAGCTGTATCAGTATATATCTAGCAACTAATACAACTAACAATATTCCAACTATATAAAGATTAGAATACATTATTTCGCTAGTTGCATTCTTTTGCTGTTGACAATATTTTCATATCTGTACACTAAATTCAGTTTGCTTGAATCCTGCCTTATTCATCATCAGTTCTACTTAAGTTTTAATAATCTAAAGTGAGTAAGGATAATTTATTACTTTAACAAAAATAATCTGATATGAATCCTGTACTGACATGTAAGATTTGTTGTTGTTAAGGCGTAACATTAAGCATGCATACTTGCTTCAAGCCAGCTGAACTGTAGTCTGAAACTAGTGGTTTCAGTTACAGACTGAGTAAACAAAACGAGTCGCTCATAGTTCATTGTTTTCCAACATCTTGCGCACCATGTAATGAAGAATTCCACCATGATGAAAATATGTCAGCTCCACTTCTGTATCGAAACGCACAATAACGTTGAAGCTGCGACCATCCTTTATGTTCACTGGAATTGTTTGCCCGGCACGTACGTTATCTGGAAGAGAAATGAAATAAGTTTCCTTCCCGGTTAGACCCAAGGTTTCTGCGTTCTCTCCCGGCACAAACTGTAATGGTATGATCCCCATGCCCACTAGGTTACTGCGATGAATGCGTTCAAAGCTTTCAGCTATAACAGCACGAACTCCTAACAGATACGGCCCTTTTGCAGCCCAATCACGAGATGATCCTGAACCATAATCCTTTCCTGCAATAATAATAAGAGGGATGTTTTCTGATAGGTATTTCTCAGCAGCATCAAACACATCCATTTGTTCTTGGGAAGGATGATGAATGGTTTTTGGACCAGCTTTTCCAATTAATTTATTAACAAGACGAATATTGGCAAATGTGCCACGAGCCATTACAGCATCATTGCCTCGACGAGCACCATAAGAATTGAACTCTCGAGGGGTTATACCTCTTTCTGACAAATAACGTGCAGCTGGACTACTTCGAGAAATACTTCCAGCGGGAGAAATGTGATCAGTTGTAACAGAATCACCAAGAAGCAAGAGAACATGACCATTTTCTATCCCACGTATAGAGGGAAGGTCTTTAGTCATGTCGTTAAAAAAGGGTGGAGACTTTATATAAGTTGACTTTTCATCCCACGGATATAACAATCCATCAGGAGCTTGGAGAGCATTCCATTTTTCATTACCATTTTGAATCTTAGCATACACCTCAGTGAACATAGCAGGGATCACAAACTTCTGTTCTACTTCTTGAATCTCTTGATGTGAAGGCCAAATATCCTTCAAATATACATCTTCTCCTGTTGAACCTTGACCTATTGGCTCAGTTTCAAAATCTATAACAACTGTGCCAGCAATTGCATATGCAACAACAAGAAGTGGAGAAGCAAGGTAATTCGCTCTTGTGTTAGGGTGGATTCTTCCTTCGAAGTTCCTGTTCCCCGAAAGGATTCCACATGCCACAATATCTCCAGTTTCAATGGCTTCCACAACTGGTCCAGGAAGGGGGCCACTGTTTCCAATACAAGTCATACAACCATATCCAACCGTATCAAATCCCAACTTTTCAAAATACTTGGTCACACCACTCTCCTTTAAATAGTATGTTACCACTCCACTTCCAGGAGACATGCTGGTTTTTATGTACGGTAACACTGACAAACCTTTCTCAACAGCTTTTTTTGCTAACAACCCAGCACCTAACATAACTGAAGGGTTACTAGTATTTGTACAACTGGTGATTGCTGCAATAACAACAGAACCATGCTTTAAAATAAACTTCTTATTATCATACTCAAATGGTACTTGAACATCGAGCTTACTGTGGGGAATGCCATAACCTTTGAATCCAATTTTATTGGTCAAACCTTGAAGGAAATCTTTCTTCATCTCAGAAATGGGCACCTTATCGTGTGGCCGTTTGGGACCACTCACGCATGGAACCACACTGCCCAAATCCAATTCTACAACTTCAGAAAACACGGGGTCTTCATCAGTATTTCTGTAATTGCGGAACATTTTCACAGCTTTCAAGTAACCCTCAATATACTTTAGCATTTTATCATTTCTTCCAGTCTGTTTTAAGTACAAAAGGCTCTTTTCATCCACTGGAAAATAACCTATAGTTGCACCATACTCGGGACACATATTTGCTATGGTAGCACGGTCGGCAATGGACAGTTCTTCAACACCTGGTCCAAAGAACTCAACAAACTTACCAACAACTCCTACCTGTCGCAAATGCTTTGTTACTGTCAAAACAACATCTGTTGATGTCACATATGAGTTTACTTTTCCAACTAAACGATAGCCAACAACTTTTGGAAGAACCATGGAAATTGCTTGTCCAAGCATAACAGCTTCAGCTTCAATTCCTCCAACTCCCCAACCCACAATTCCCAAACCATTTATCATTGTTGTGTGAGAATCTGCTCCAACAAGACTGTCTGGATATAACAAGCCTTCGGTATTAAACACCACACGACCAAGAAATTCCAAGTTAATCTGATGTACTATACCTAAACCTGGTGGTACAATCATTGTGTTTTTGAAAGCTTTCGCTCCCCATTTCAGGAAAACAAATCTTTCTTTATTACGTTCAAATTCTAGTGTCTGATTTTTCTGGAGTGCATCTCCCGACCTCGTAAAGTCTACTTGCACCGAATGATCAATAACTAGATCAGCTGGACAAAGTGGATTTATTTTCTCTGGATTTCCTCCAAGTTTCTTTACAGCATCGCGCATTGCTGCAAAGTCTACTATAGCAGGGACACCCGTGAAATCTTGCAAAATAACACGGGACGGTTTGAAGGGGACTTCAACACCTGATTCACTTTGCTGATTGATCTCCCATGCAAGTATATTCTGCACATCTTCCTGTTTTACATGGAAGTTATCACAACATCGAATTGCAGCTTCTAGTAAAACGCGAATACTGTACGGAAGTCGGTTGTAGCGTTCATCTTGCAAGCCCACTAAATCATAATACTTATATTTCTGTCCGTCGATATTCAGTGGTTTCAAGAGATGGTTAAAAGGATTAGAGGCCATGTACATCGCCATTACGACCTTCGAAAACTAAGCATCTACACGTAACCGCTCTGCGCATTCAGTGGCTCAACCTCACTACATGCCACGTGAGCCGCGAAATCCTAGATATAGATGTCGCTAAGCAAAGCTATTTGAAAGCTTTGAAATAAAGAAAAATATCACAGTGATATGATAAGAGGAAAGACTTGAATATAATATAAGAAGGATAAAAAAATATCCACATCCAATAAGGATAAGATTTAGCAGGATACGTAAAAATTTATTTTTGCAGAGGTAAAATAACTTATAAATGAAAAATAAAAACTTGTATAATATGAAAAAGACGTATATATATATATACGTTCTAACAACGTTAAGACGGCTTATCGACTTCTTGAGAAGAATTCTAAGAAGAAAGTAAACCTACAGACATCGGTCTTGTTTAACAGAATCTGCATATATATATATATGTGTGTGTGTGTGTGATTTGAATTCCATCCTTATTTATATTTTTTCCACATTAATTTTTGGATATATATACATATAAATGTTTTTTTAAATAAACTTAGAACTTCCACTATACAGCCATGACAAAAGTTACGCCTCACTGATGAAAGCATTATAGTGTAATAAACGCGATTAAATGTATCGAAACTGATTTTCCTCGATTTTAATTTTCAAAGTATGTTATATATAAATGCTTTCTTCGTAGTCATTACCGTGTCTCCACCATTTATATATGTCTTTAAGTCTGTATAAACAAAACCTCCAGAAACCAAACTGTTGTTTAAACTGTCAAAAATCTTCGAATAATACCCTGCTGTGAACGTAAATATCATTAATTTAAGATTAACAAACGTAGATTGAATCTTGTTAAAATTAAGTTATCGATAATAGAGTAACTCAAAGATAGTCACTAAAGTATAGATAAGTGTCACAAAAAAGTGAAAACTAAGGCTTAAAGCCATTTGCGTAATATGAAAGTAAAAAGAGCGAAAATAATAGGATAATATATGCAGCCATTTCCATTTATCGAGATAGCACAACAATCCAATTCATATAATTTATATATAGGTGTTGAAATATATTCCAAGCACAGTGGCGGCGCTAACAGAGGGGGGAAGGGAGTCATTTGCCTACCCAAAACGCAACCTGGCTAACTAATGAATGGATATTTGCTGTAAAACTCTTATCAACGCTATAAGTTTAGCTACCAGTTTGGCCGCAAATTTTAATTTCGTGCCTTTCAGTTTTGGGGGCGTTATAAAGTGACGGTCAAGCCCACTATTTGTTGGTAACAAAATAGCCCAAGAGTTGACGGTGATAGCTGCATTCCCTATAAACTTTCAGTGCTAAATTAGGGACGGTTAGCCAGGTAGCCTTCGTTATAACTTTGCGCGAAATTCAAAACAAACAAACCTAAATATTTAAGTTATACACATATCTTCTTAAAACATACATTATACTCTAGTTTACGATTGTATTCCCAATATTTATGGAGATAACACTCTTTACACATCTTAAATAAGAATAGTTTTTTGATCAGAAACAAAATTTTCTTTTACTTTAAAATATTGTTACGTCTCTGTTCGTTAGTTAATTTTCCGTAAATTC